ATAATAAAGATCTTAATCAAATATTAAATCAAATTAGTATATCTAAAAGAAAGAATTTTTTAAAACAATATAAAAATGATTCATCATTTTCTCTTGGAAAATTATTCTATATTGAAGCATTATCATTATCATTATCAACTGAAACACTACAATTTACTGAAGAAGAAATTGATATTCATTTGATTTATCTATTCATTCAACATGAAGTTTACAAAGTATATTCTTTAGTTTTAGTTCATCAACAATCTCTTTCTAAATTTGATCTTACTCTTCATAAACAAATTATTGAGACATTATTAAGTGCTATTAAGAAAACAAAATTACCTCAGGCTGTTTCTTTAAAAGCATTCCAAGCAGCATATGCTCTTCAATTAGATTCAACTCCATTAAAAGAATATTATGCAGAATTAATTGAAGTTCCTAGTTTATTAAAAGGAAAAGTTCCATCTAAAATCTTTGAATTTGGATTATCTGAATCAGTGGATTTAGCTGCACAAATGCTTGTTATTGATCCATTGGCGTTTAGGTCATGGGATGATTATGTTTTAAATAACCTTAAACATTCAGAGCAATTACTTCAAATAGTGAAAACATATCAAACTGATGAATTAAAGTTATTCTGTTCAAGGATGATTGAAACTTATTCTAACAATCCTGAATTTTCAAGATTTTTAAGAGAATGTTCATCAATTGTTAATCCAATGAGTGTCTTAAAATTAGTTGGTATAACAATGACAGTATTAGTTTGTGTTGCTGCAATTGCATATGTTTCACTCTTCTCCAATTAATTTCTATTTTTTTTTTACTTTTTATATTTCAAATTTTAATAGTGTTGTTTAAAAGTCAATTAATTGGGTTTTCAAGGTTTAATTCATTGCAGTCTTCATGAGCGTATTGACCATTATTCACTACAAAAGCACTTGTAGCTGATATTTGATCATGACATTTGTAACAAACTGTCTTACGATCAATAACTTCATAACGTTTATTAGAATTTATAGTTAATCCTTTAATAGCATTTGAATAAATAGAAAGGTAGAAATACTTTCTGGCATAAGAATAAATGGCGGGAAGTAAAATTTGTAAATCATCAAAACTCTCTACACGATCAAGCATCTTGTTGAATAAACAAGTTTCAATATCAATATTTAATTCAAAAGTATCAAATTTAACTCCAAGCCATTTAAATTCACCTTCAGTAAATTTTAAAGGAATAATAGGATAGAAACGACTATATAACTCTAATGCAAATGAAATTGGAAATGGGTTATCAAATGAGTCATTATCTTTCTCCAATAATAAATGAACCAAAAAAGATAATAAAGCAGAAGTATTTGTACTGATATTCATTTGACAAACACAATACATGATTGTTTCAGCTCCAATATGATTTGGATGAACTTTATTGAATGGACGATAATTTTGTCTTATTAATCTAACCATTTTAGCAATACTTCCTGAAGTTCCATCGAAATTAAATGTACGATCAAATCTTCTTATAAAATTATCTAATTCACAAAAAGAATCTTCAGCAAAGGTTGATGAATATTGATTTTTCATTTGTTTAAAATATTCTAATAATCCTTTATATTTACATTTAGTGTGTTGAATTCTACAACGTAATATCCAAGGTAATTTATCATAATCTTTTTCAATATGTTTTTGTAATACTGGAGTGTTTTGCATTTGGTCATTTAATTTAGATGTAGCATTTAATCTATCACTAGTGGCAATTTTTAAATATTCAAGATAACAGTCAGTTAATAACATTCCTTCTGGTTTTTTAGTCTTTTTCTTTTCTAAATATCCAATAATTCCTTCTAAAATACTTTGTCTATCTTCATCACCTTCAAATATTTTTAATTCTTCTTTAATTTCTTCATCTCCTCCTTTAATAGGTAATGCCATTGGATCAGCAAGATCCCATATAAATCTAATAACTGTACCTGGAAGATGATCTTTAACAATCTGTTGATGTATATGATGATAAACTTCAATAGGATTTGTTGATGTAAAGATAATAAGAGAAATTTCAGCAAACAAATTATTAACAAGAGACAAAGGAATATATTCTTCTTTAAGAATTTTTTGAATAGAAGGAGAGTATAATAATGTCATTAATGATTCTTTAGTTACGTTTTGTGGAATTTTTTTTTGATTAAATAATTTTAACATGAATTTGACTAATTGATTAAATGAATCATTATAAATATCATCTAAAACTTCTTCTTGTTCTTTTAATTCTTTACAAACTTGTAATAACATAGGCATTAATTCTTGGTGTTGAATAAGACCAATACAAGCTCTAATTTTATAATACAATGGACTTATTATTGAATAATTAATTTTTTCTACAATAGAAGGATATTTGTTTGATATTTCAATAAATGATTTAATATATTCATCAGTTAATATAATATTATTTATTGAAGCATATTTAATATGAATAATATATTTCTCAATAACTTCTTTACCAAGTTCTTCTGTTTCTCCTTGTTCTTTATAACATTTTAAACAATACAAACAACTTAATCTATTTCTAAATTCATTTACTTCATTTTCATCTTTAATACCAAACTCCCATCCTTCAATAATAGTACAAATTTCATCAATACCTAATACTGATTTTTCTTTTCCAAAAATTAAATATAATTCATCTTGTAGTTTCATATTATTTTCTTCAATAAATTTTCTTCCACCATTACTTTCTATTTTTTCTTCAATAAGTTCTTCAATTTTTTTATAAACTTTATTTTTATCACCAGTTTCTTTCTTTTGTAATATACGAATTACTGCATTTCTTTTATCATAATAACTAATTCCATTAATGTTAAATACTCCATCAATATGATTTTGAGAAATATAATATTCAATAAGTAACTTTTTATTAATTGTAGTATGTTCTTCTAGAATTTTTAAAATAACTGTTTTAAAAAGGAATTTAGTATTTTGTAATAATTCAAGCATTTCCTTTGAATTAGGTGAAAGATAATAAACAATAACTACTAATGAAGTATAAAATATTTCTCTTTCTTCACTTGTTTCTCCATCAATTTGTTCTTTGTTAACAATTTGTGATTTTACTGCCATAAGATAAGTAACAATGGCTTGAATAATTTCTTTAGTAGAATGTCCTTCTGAATTAAAATGATTTTGTAATGGAACAGTTTTATTATTTTTTAATGCTGTATTTTTTTCTTTAATAACTTCTTCTAAAGCATCTTGAAGATTTTTTACAAGTTGTCCAGGGAATGTTTTAACCATATCTTTCTTCCAATTTTCGATAGAAACAGTAAACCAATCTTGGAATAATGAATGAAGATCTGTAATAAAGTCATGGAATAAAAATAATTCTAAAAAGACTAATATATTCTTTGGACTAATTCCACCCATTTTAAAATCATTTAAAATGGTTATAATATTTTCACTTGTTCTATTTTCTTCATTTTTATAAAATTCAATAATTTTATTCATTACTCCTAATGTATAAGCACATTTTTTAAATTGTTCTGAATGTTCATCTGCACTATTTCCTAATAATGTAATAAATTCAATTGCACTTTGATAATGTCCATTTTGAATTGCAGATTCATACCATTTAGGATTTGGAGTAAAGTAAATTAGTTGTTTACTTGTACCACTGATAAATACTGGGACAGCTTCATGCATATAACTTCCTTTATAATATTCAGGTCTTCTAAAATCAAGTGAATGTGGTGAGGCATGTGTCATTGGTTCTAATCTATAAGTAATATAAAATTTATTGTGTGCAAATTCTTGCATAAAGAAAATAAATGGAGACATTTTACTTATTGTAATAACAGGATAATCACTAGGAACTAAATTTACTGCATCTTCTTCAATTGAATAAACACAATTTCCTGTATGAACAAGAATTTGATTTAATTGTAATTCTAAAAATCTTGGTTTACCTTTAAATGGAATAATAGATTTATTACAAATAGTTTCACTTTTACCAAAGAATGAAATAATTTGTATTTTGTTAGGATAAACAAGAACTAAGTTTTGATTAACAAAATTACAACCAACAATTTTATCTTCGGCATTCCAAACTTTAGTCTCTTTATAAAATATTCCATCAGTTTTAGATTCAATTAATGTTATTGATGATTTCTTTTTTGTATCTACAGCAGCAATAAAAACTACTCCTTTACGTACAAATGTACTAAAACATTCAAATGGTCCAATATTTTTAATTTGTTTTGTAGTAATACGTTTAAATACTTCATTTGATGCTTTTTTATTTAAATCAACTTGAAATGATTCAAGTTTACTATTAATTAAACAAATAAGTAAATGCATTTGTTGATGATACCACATTTGTTCTATTGTTCCACTAAATGAATATTGATGTAATACAGTCATTTTATTTTTATCTAATGAAATGGCAGTCATCATACCTTTCTTTCCAAATAATAAAATATTGTTTTGTAATAAACATGAACAAGTAGAAGAACTTAATGTGGTAATGGTATCACTTGGTTGTTCAATTTTAACAACTTGAATAGGATCATTTCTTTCTTCATTCATTTTTATTTCTATTTATTTCTTTAATTATCAGTTCAGATTTTATTAAATTTTCTTTTTTCAATCTCAAATTGATTATTTTAAAGATTGGGGATTATTATGAAATGAAAAGTAATTATTATAAAGACAATTGTTCTAATGGAGTTATTTTTTTGTGGAAGGAAAAAAAACGATGAAAATTGGAATTAACAAAAATGCTATTGAAACAAAAAGTTCATTTATTAGTGAAAATCTTAAAATTCATTTACATGACAGAAAATCAGAATAATCCTACAGTAAATTCTACTCAAGAAGATTTTACTATAAAGTCATCATCTGAACTTAAAGAAATGGATGAACTAACATCTACTATGCTTACCGTTTGTTCTTTTCTTATTTATATATACAACTCAACTTTTTTTCCTTTGTTCTATTTCTAGATTATCAATATTATTATTCTTTCATTTTAAATTATGTCTCTGTTTTTACTTAAATTAATTCTCATATTAAAGCATCTTTCTACAATCCTCCCAACATATAAACAACTTATTGAAAGTTGTGAGGCTTATTCAAAGGCTCAAACTACTCTCGCTTCATGTGCTATTGGTATTGCTAATCAATTAAAAGGAATGTCAGTAACTATGGATGGATGTACATTAATTAATACAGCACTTCAAAGTGTGGCTGGAATGTTAGAAACACAAGCTAACACATTAACTCAATCTAATAAAATTTTTGTTGATAACACTATTAGAATATATCGTGGAGAAGTTTGTGAAATGCCAAAGAAAATTAAAGACACAAAGGAAACTGTTAAAAATGATAGAAAGAAAAATGAAGATGCAAAAGAAAAAGCTACAAAACGAGCTAAAAATTTAAAAAAAGGTGATAATTTAAAAACATTGATGGAAAATATTAATGAAGCTGAAAAAACTGTTCAAAAAGGAATTGTTAAAGGACTCACTGAAACAACAAATTTAATGTGTGAGATGTATTGCCAATTAATTACTGGTATGTTCGTTTTTCTGGAAGATGAACAAAATTCTTCTTCTTTGAATGCTATGTTCTTAGAAAAAAATACTCCTAAAATTAAAAAGTTATCTAAGACTCAAAACGTATGGCCAAGAAGAGTTAAAGACTTAATTATGAATAAAAAACAAATTCTTATCAATACAAAATGGATGTCAGATGATTTAAAACAAATTTTAAAGGACGCTGGTGTTAAAAGACGTGATTTAGCTGATCCTGATACTGTACAAATGTTGTTTGGAATTATCACTGCTCAAGTTGAAGCAGGAAATATTCCCCCAGAAATTTTAGGTGAACTACAATGTAAAGACAATACCCCTGAAATTCATGAAATTTCTTTGAGCACATCAGATCTTGTTGCTCCTCCATTACCACCATCTTCAAGAGGTCTTGGTACTCGTCCTGCTCAATCAGCACCTCAAAGACCATCTGGAAGTGCCCCAAGACCTACTCCTCCAAGAAGAAAAGAGTCTGGTGTTGGTGCCCCACCACCCCCTCCTCCTAGAGGTGGTGTATCACCTCGTGGTGCTCCACCACCCCCACCACATCTTGCAATGGAAACTCAAAGCGATCTTCCACCCCCACCACCTCCTCCTAGAGGAAGTCATGGAGTTCCTGCTGCTCCAGCCGCACCAGCTGCCCCTTCGTTGTTAGACCAAATTCAAAAAGGTACACAATTGAAAAAGGTTGATACTAATGCTCCAAGACCATCAATGGCTAATCTCAATAAAACACAGAAAGTTGATTTAACTAGTTTACTTGCAAGTGCTATGCAAAAAAGACGAGAAGATATTGCTGATGATGACGGTGATGATGACTTTGAGGATGACAGTGATGAATGGGATGACTAAACAATTATAAACATAATCAAATATTCTCATACACAACACTTTTTGGATTTTATTAAAATTACCAATATAACAGCTTTTGATAATGCACGTATTTGTATTTCTTTTGTGTTGAAATTGTTAAAAAAAAACTAGTCATTAGTTATAGTTTTGTTCTGTTTTGTCTAATTGTCATTTTTGGAGTGAGAAAATAATTAGCAAGAAAGTGAAGATAATGTTTTATTTTAGAATTAAAACTTATTAAGAGAAAGATTAAATATCTTAAAAAGAGAGTAATGAAATGGAAAGAAGCAAGTTTTGTTCATAACGAATTTAATTCAAATGGAGTTATTATAAAAATGGATAATTATATTGTTGGATTAACCAATAAATGCGGGTGGAATATTCATCAGAATGATGTTATTGAAATGAAAACTATAAAGAGAAATGGTGAAATGATTCAAATTCAAAGTAAAGATGTTAATATAATTACTATTAAAACAGAAGAAGGCATTATCAACAAAGAAGAAAAACACCTTTTTGAGAAATATTTAATGATTGAATATCAGATGTGTGGTGATATTGAATGGAATGAAAATACTGTAAGCAATGAGATTAGTGATAAAGTGATAATAAGATATGGAGATTCTACTAATGGGTCATCTATTTTACAACACATTGAAATTAAAGCAAAAGTCATAGAAAGGTATTACCATTTAAACTCAGTTATTGGATGTATTGTTCAACCACACTCACCTCGAAATTCTAGTGGATGTTTCGTCATGAATTGTAAAAATCAAATTATTGGTTTAATTCTTTTTACAAATACAGCAAAAAATACAACAACTATTATCAATATTAATACTGTTATGAACGCAATAGGAAATTTCGATGAGTTAACTACTGATAATTCAATTGGAATTTATAAAATAAAAAGTGGAAAACAAGAAGGAAGTTGTTGCGGAATAAAACATTGGGGAGAAAAAACAATCTTTGTTACATCATCTCATTTATTTGAAAACAGATATTTCCCAGTAGAAATTATCAACCCAATAACACAACAAAGTATTCAAGGAAGTGTTTTGTTTTATTCATGGTGTTTTGATATTGTTGTAGTTATTGTTCATGCAAAGATGAAAATTATTGAAGAAAATAAAAGAAAAAATAATGTAACAAATAATGGTGTAAAGAAACACATTGGATATCCAGTCAATATAGAGAATTTAAAGGAAGTAGAGGGGCAAATATGTAGTACATCATTCAAAGGAAAAGAACTTATTCATTGTACATATTGTAGTATTGTTGATGGAATGAGTGGCGGTGGATTAATTGAAAATGGAAAGTTTTTTGGAATGCTTCAGAGTTGTGACAATGAATTTAGTTACTCATTAAGTTCTGAAGTCATTGATGAAATTATCCAAGGGATTGAACAAAAAAAAACAGAAGAAGAGATTCAAAAAGAGATGATGGAATATGGCATTCTTGAAGAAAGCATTCTTGGAGCTGGTTCATATTACTCATATCAATCATATTAATGAATTACAATTAAATTTAACAAGTCAATTCTTTTATTTTCATTCATCAAATTCTTCTTTGAATAAATTTAAAACAAAATAAAAAAACATACAAATTAACTTAACTCTAGCAAAAATCAATTGTGATTTTGTACTTAAAACATTTTTAACAAATAGAGAGAATGTTTTAAAAAAGAATAAGAGTAACAATATACTTAACTTTCTCTAATTGCAACTTCTTTTTATTCATTACTAATCCCTGCATAAATCAAAACTTTTGAATTATTACACTTTTTTTTCAATGAAAACCAATCAAAATTATTTTCTTTAACATTTATACCTAATACTAAAAGTAGTAGTATTATAACGTTATTTTTATACAATTCTCCTCTTTGTTTATACCAAATAAACTTACAAAATCTTTGCATTACCACATATATATCTTTCTCACATAACAACATAAATCTAAATTTCATAAATCTTTTCATTATCTTTTGCAATTTGTTTATAGCAATTATATTAATTTTTTTTTAATTGATTCATTTTGTAGAATTACTCTATACACTTGAACATTCATTGTTGTTAAAATCAATTTCAGTTGAATAATGTTTCATTGAAATGAATGTTAATGATATATTAAATTACTTTGAAAGAATATGAAAAAATTTTCTATTTATTTAAACATTATAAACACCAACAAGGGAATTAATATTTTAATTATAAACAACAACTAAATAACATCATTTCTACAAATTATATTAATAGTTATAGAACAATACTGTAAAAAAACATTTATCAACAAAGAATACATTCATAAAACAATGTTAAATGAGTCATTTTATTTATTATATTTTTTATTAATTTTATACAAATCAACACATTTTAAAATAAAAAGATAACACAAAAGTCATGGTAAAGTATTATGTTTATGAACATATTATATTACATTGACTTAAGCATTATTAAAGCAAAACAAAGGCTAATAAATCTAATTATCTAAGTAATTTAAATTAGTTCTCAAAGTTATAAAATAAAAAGAATAAAAATAAATATATTATAAACTTGTAATCTAAGAAAACAGAATTTGTTCCTTTATTTGAAAGTTATGAACCAAATAAGGATAACTATTCGATTTTATATGCCTCAAAAAATATTGATTCTATTCTAATAAAACATTATTAAGACTTTCGCAAGCATAGCAAGTACTAATTTCTGTCTTTTTTCATAAGAAGTACACAAAAGTATCAAAAGAATGGTCTGAATACATTGAAACCAAATTACAACATTTCTGCACAAAGACAAGAATAAGAATAACACAACGAGAAAAGGAAGATTCTTTTAGGTTAATTACTATTAATAAAAGAAAAAAAACTATAATGAAATTATTTAAAAAAAAAAAGGTAAAATAGCATTAGTTTCAATTCAATCAATAAGAAAGAAAATAATCGTAAGTAAAGAACGGTACAAAAGATTAAGCAATGACTTTGGTTTTCACTTCAGCCACCCTCTCCCTTTTTAAGAGATCTTCGTCTGTTTATTTTATTCATGTTTATTCTTCTTTTATTCATATCAATTTCACTTGGTGATTATACTGCTGATAAGCTCATAGGCGGAAAAGAGCCAAGAGAGGCTGTTCCACATTGTGCATCAGTTTCAAATGGAGCATGCACTAGTTGTGATACTGGTTATGAACTTACTACCACTGGAAATAATAAGACATGTACTCTTAAAGAAGATATGTGTAAAACTGCTTTTTCTTATTATGATAAAACAAACTCTACAAACCCCAAATGTACTTATTGTGTTAACGGTAAAGAAGTAAATACATCATCACACTCTGGAAATGATAAGTGTGTATGCAAAAACAATGTAAACATTTGTGAGTCATGTCTTTTGATGAAAGATTCAAAATGTGGAGAATGTATAATTGGGATGTCTACTACTGTTGATGGTTCAAAGTTATGTGATAATGCAACTACAGAAGATCATGCAGAAAATTGTGTTGGTCTTTTAGCCTCTTCTACTTCTTCAAAGACTTGTGATAAATGTTTCGGTATGTACTCTCTTCAAGGTGGGAAATGTACTCAAAAGAATGATAAAATTAATAAATGTATTTTACAAGTTGAAAACTCTTGTAACCAATGTGCAGATGGATATTCTCTCAGTACTGATAAGAAATCTTGTAATAAGTTCCCGGAGCATTGCTCAAAGATTAATGGTAATCAATGCTTGACATGTATGGAAGGTTATTATTTAAGTAAAACAGATTCTAAATGTACTATATGTACTGTTGATAATCCAAATAATCTTTCAGAAGGTAACGAATGTAGTATTTATAACGCTGAACATTGCACATCATGTAATAAAAGATGTACTGTTTCTGATGGAGTTTGTGTCAAGAATCATTGTCGTTTATTCTCACCAACAGAAGAAAATAAATGTACAAAATGTGATAATGGATATTTCTTAACAACTTCAGGAACATGTTCACCAAATTTGTATGATGGTTTCAAAACAGCTAATAGAACAGAATGTGAAAATGGCTATTATTTAGAAAAAGATGGTGATAAAAAGAGATGTTCACTTTGTCCAGATCCATTTACTGAATGTCTTACTTCTAAAACACCAGTTCCAGGTAAGTTAAATCTTAGAAGCTCACACTTAACATCAACTGATGGACCATGCAAACTTCCAGGATGTTTATTATGTAGTGATGATGATACTATTTGTTATAAATGTGAGAATGGACTTACATTGAATGGAACTCATTGCTATAATTTTGACACTAAATCAGTCCTTGGTACTAGTGGTAACAACCATCAAGTGTGTAAGATGAGAGGATATGATCAATATGAACAATATTTGAATGCATTTAAAGCATCTGATAATACTTATTATTGTCCACTTAAAGACCTTTATTTACCATATTATTTCAGTGTTACTAAAGGTACTTCAGATAATACAATTACTATTGGTTGTGTTGGTCAATTAAGAAATGTTTCAAATGACTGTGAATGTAATGACAAACATATTCCAACATCAATTGACAAAGCATCAGATTGTGTTTCAATAACAACCAAACTTCCATCATGTGAAAGAACAGCAAATGGAAATATTTGTACACAATGTCCAGTTGGATCACATGTAGGAAAGGATGGTAAATGTTCTTGTGGTGATGCACATTATTTTGACAAAGATAATGTCTGTAAAAAGTGTCCAGCTAGTTGTTCAAGTTGCTCTTATGATAGTTCTAAAAGTAAAGTTGTGTGTAGTGAATGTTATGAAAATATTCAAGGTGTTACTACAAGAAATAAAGAAAATGAATGCGCTTGCATAAATGATGGTTATAAAGAAGGACCAAATGCAGAAGATAAGAAGAAAAGTTGTGCACAACTAAATAATAATTGTAAAAAGGAAGGTAAATATGAAATTAGTGATGGATTTGTTACCTGTCTTGACTGTGATGACTCAGCTTATATTGTTGGTTCACAGGTTGGTGCTTGTACGCAATGTTCTCCTAATGCTTTTAAAGATGAAAATAATAAATGCCAACTTTGTTCTACTAAACAATCTCAATATGGACATTGTGCAGCATGTTCAGCAACAGCATGTATTACCTGTGAAGACATTAACTTAATACTTACCGGAGAAAAGCCATGTACTGTATGTAAAGATGGATTTTATCAAATTGAAAATGCAACAGATGGAGTGTATTGTAGTCCATGTCCTGCAAAATGTAAAACATGTAAATATAATACCACTTCAAAGAAAGTTGAATGTGTGACATGCACTGAACAAAGGCTAAAAGATATTAAAGCACCAGAATGTGCTTGTCCAACAGGAACAGTTCAACTTGAAAATGGAACGTGTCAAAGTTGCTCTGACCTTTCAAAATATCCAGGATGTAAAAAAACTGATTCATGTAATGTTGATAGTAGAACAGGATTTATCTATGCAACAGAATGTTCAGATGGTTTTAGTGGACGTAGTCCTTATAGTAATTGTACTACATGTACTAAGTCTAATTATTATCCAAAAGAAGGAGAAAAGAATGGGTGTGCTAAATGTGATGATAAATGTGCAACATGTTCAGATAAAGACACTTGTTTAACATGTGCTGATCCATTAAAGGTAGGAAGTAAATGTGATGGATGTAAAACAGGTTATTATATGTCAAATGGTGAATGTAAGCCATGTACCAATCATTGTAGTGAATGTAGTAGTGCCGCAGAATGTACAGTATGTGAGAGTGATACATACAAGGTAATTAGTGGAAATGGATGTAATTCATGTGTAGATGGATTCTATTTTGATGAGATTAAAGGAACATGTATACCATGCACATCACCATGCACTAAATGTGTTGGAGTAAAGAAAGATTGTGAAGAACAAGAAACAGGATGTAATTCTGAGAAGAAGAAAATAGTAGAAGAATGTACTAAATGTTCAACAAAAGATCATATTGCTGAAGTACCAGTGAATGGAGCATGTGTTTGTGCATATGGATATGTTGAAGGCACTTCTACAGAAGATAATAAAATTGAATGTCAAGCATGCAAAGCTAAAGTTAATGAGTTTTGTGATTCATGTAATTCCAAAGACTGTTTGAGATGCAATGCTGAATATTTAGAAGCAAAAGGAGGAGAATGTGTATGTGTTGAAGGATATTACACATCTAGTTGGGGATCATGTATTCCATGTTCAAGACATATGCCACATTGTACTAAATGTACAGGAGAAGGCGAATGCACAACATGTGAAGATGGATGGAAATTAAAAGATGGAAAGTGTAATGGAGCTAAAGGCATTTTCATCATGATGATGATAGTCATGTTAGCATTTATGTTCTAAAAGAATAATGATCCATAATTAAATAATCAAATAAGAAATATTTTAATGGTTTATAAGATAAATGATATTTAAGTTAGTTTTAATGAAAGAAATGAAATAATGAGAATTGAAGAATAAAAAAGTAAATAAAAGAATTTTTTAATTTTTGTTTTTCAAAAATTAATTGTGTTTTTTTTGCACAATGAATTTTTTGTCAGTTCTATTTTTAAATAAGAATTTATTTTTTATCTTTCTTGTTTATCAGTTTTCTTTTTTCTTTTTATAACCAATCTGATGATACGAAGAAGAAACTAAAACAAATTAAATTAATGGAGTAGAATAGATGCAATCAAAAATAAAATGACTGTCAAAAGGAATATAATAATAACTACAAACCAAAAACTTTGGTTTGATTGAGTGTGAATGATTTTCTTTTCTAAATGATTTGGTGATTGTGTAATTTTAATTATATCCTCAGACCTTTTTTCAAACTTTTCAAGGTCCTTTTGAATTTGACTAACTGAAAAATTTTTTGGACGGATAGTAGTGGTATTAAATGAAGTTGGCTGTTCATTTGAAAGAGGTAACTTAGATTGAGATTGAGGTTGAGTATTTTTAAGATTTTCTGAAATTTCTTTCTTTTCAGTGATTATGTTTGTTTGTGTCTTTTTAATTTTTCTAATAACATCTGCAGAAGCATCGAAATCATCATCCCAAGGAATCATTTCAACATCCTCTATCATTCCATCTTTTGTGTAAACAAGACAACGAGCAGTAAGAATTTTACTTCCGACTGTTTTTTGTTTTAATTCTATTTCAGCTTTTTCATGTTCCTCCTTTTCAGCAATTAATTCGTTTTGAAGTTTTTGTTCATTTGCCAAGCACTCTTGTAAATCCCGTTTAAGTAATTCTATCTTATCGTCTGCATTCTTACCAACTTCTTCGAAACGATTTTTATCTTTAAGAGCCTTGTTATAAAGATCTATAACCGTTCTTAGTTTTTCAATAGCCTCATCAATCTCGTATTGGATGTTTTTAGGTGATGTGATACTATCATCTTCACTTACAGTAGTGCTCATCGCTTTTTTTTATTCAAGATATGACTTAATTTAATTTCTCTTTAAGGTTTTCACTTTTTATTTATTTAAGTTAAATAATCAATAATATTTAGACAGATTCTTAATGTATTCTTTCTAGATTTTATGTAAGTTTTTCTTACAGAAATATAATGTAAGTTTACAATAAATATAAATAAGTAAATTTACTATCAAATACTGTAATTAAGTTTATTAACGTAATAATATATATAGTTTGTATATATTATAATGAAAATTATTAAAATAAGCTTTTAAATAACGAAATATTACAAAATTCTAAAGTTAAGATGTTTTTGAAAATAATAACATTACAATCTCACGTTAGATTAGACAAAGATCTAAGTTATAATCATAATGTCTTACAAAAAGAAAACAACAACTGCAAAAGAATGTCGTATACCACCTCAAACACCTCACCAACTTTTTATTGCAGAAATTACACAAAAACAAAAAGAGATGGGAATCATCAAAGAAGAAAAAAGCTGTGAAATTCCAATTGAAAAGAAAGAATTTAAGAAGGAAGAAATATTTGAAGAAAAACAATTAAAACCAAAAGAAAAACCAGATAAACGAAGTTTACCACGTTCACACATAGAATTGTTGAAAGAAATAAATAAAAGTCTTCCTTCTAAAGATCAAATATCAGACTCTAAAGTAAAAAGAAAAAGATCAGAACCTGACGCTGTTTCACTTGAAGCTGATTTAAAAAAATCTACGCCTATTCAATACTCAGAACAATTTCATACTTCAACTACTTGGCAATCTCCTATTCATACCCCTAAAGGTCGTCCTATTTCAATTATCTCCTCTCCTTTATCTCTTCCTTCAACACCAATTGCTGATAAAGGAATAGTTACGGATAAACAAAGTCCTTCTTTTGCTTCAAGACAACTTAGTAAACGTCAATGTATGACACAATCCTTTATGGAAGAACCAAAGTATGATGAACAATTCTCTCTATTAGGAAAGATTGAACAACTCGAAAGTATTCTTCGTAAGTTAAAAGAAGTTTCTTCTAAACAACAACAAACAATCGAAATTTTAAAAAAACAATTGTCTTTGTCACAATAAACTGAGCTTTCTTTTTTCTTTCCTCTTCAAAAATAGCTCTTTGTTTTTAAATACACATTTTTGTTATTTATATCATTTTTAATTTTGTCTATTTCAAAACATCTGGAAAAAAACAAGTTTATGGAGAAGAGAAAGATACAAAAAAGTGCTTCAGTTATTGAAGCTGAAAAAAAGGTAATTTCTGAAGGAACAAGTAAACACCAAGTAATAAATAATTCAGAAGTGGCATTAACAGAGAAAACAGATAAAATAAAAAATCAAATAGGAAGTGTCTCTTCCTCAAAAAAGAAAAAATTATACACAACTGATTATCCAGACAATCAAAAACCAGAAGAAAAAGAAGAGATTGATTCAGTTGTTGCATCTATCAAAGAAGATATTAAAGAAAGTGAAATAAAAATTATGAAAATGCAAAACCGTAAAAATGTTCTTAAACCAAAAGGAAAAAAACCAAATACAAAACAAAAAAGTGATAAACGTGATGAAGCAGTTCAACAAAATATAGAAAAAGCAGAGTCAGAAGAAATTACTAAAAGTGATACACAAGTTATAATTAATGAAGATAAAAAACATTCTGAAATAAATCTTTCTGAAGAACAAGTTAATGAAAAAATTGTTTCACAAGAAATTGGAGTCAAAGAGACACAAGAAGAATCCAATCAAAATAATTTAATTATTTCTCATGAAGAAAGATTAATAGAGAATGAGAAAGATATTGAAAATACAAAAGAGCTTCAAAAATTAGACGAAGAAATTAATAGAATCAAGAAAGAAAACGAAGCCAAGAGAAAAAGAATTTATGAGATGAAAGAAGCACAAAAAACACAAAAAGATAATGCAAATGAAGTAGAAAAAAGAAGAGATAATACTGAATTAAGAATTAAGGAGATATTGAAGAATATAAATGATAAACAAGAAAAAATTGAAAGTGTATTAAATGAAATTAAAACAATTTGTTATAAAGAACGAATTGTTATGAATAAAGAAATTAGTTCTATTGAAGAAATGGAAATAAGTATTGAAGAACAAAACAAAGAAAATGAACAAATGGTTGAAAATATGAAAGGGTTAGAAGATTATTTTGTCCAACAAACAAATGAGTTTAAGAAGATAATAGCAGAAGAGAGTAAAAAAAGACAAGAAGAACAAAAGAAAGAAGAAACAATGAAACACCAATTAAATGAATTAAAATACAATAAAGAAATTGGAATTTTGAAAGAGAAAGAGTTAATTCAACAAAATGATGATAAACAAAGTGACAAAGATGATTTAATGAAAGAAATTCAAGAATTACAAGAAAAATTAAATACCAAAAAAAAAGAAGGAGTTGTTATAAGAAATGAAGAAGAAAAGAAATTAAAGGAATGTATTGATATGGAAAAAGAAATTAAAGAATTACAAGAAAGTCATTTGAGAATAGAAGAACAATGCAAAGTATTAAAATCATATGTGGATAAATTTAATGACAAAAAATGGCTTTGTTTAATGAAAGAAGAAGAACAAATCGAGCTATTAGCTACTATTGTTGTTCAATATAAATTAAGTCATCAACAAGTATATGAAAAATCAGTTATTCAAATATTTGATGAAATAGTTTCAAAAAAAATCCCAATAAATGAATGGAAAAGTTATGTTGTTGGTGTATTAAACAATTAGTAATTTCTTAATGTCTAATCCTCGTTGGTTGGTTAGGACTTTTCCAATGAACACCAAATTTCCGAAAACTTAAAATCTTCTTTTTTCAGTGTTTCTAATTTAATACTCTTTACAAAAAAATTTTCACAATTCTGTCTTAAAGGAAAAGTAAGAACTAATAAATCCAAATATCATGTTGATCAGCAAAGAATTGCTTCATAAAATTCATGTTTTGTGTGGAATGCTTCTTTTTGGTACAGGGAGTTCAGTTACAATGAAAGTTTGTTAATTCTTTTTTTTTTTATACTTAATTGGTTATAAAAGTTATTAGTTTTTCATTTAGATTTGATTAGTAATCTCAAAATTGGTATTTAAAAGAATTGTATAAGAAGGAAAAAATGGGAAAAAAGAAATTAATTAAAATAGCTTCAATTAGATGTAGAATGTGTTGGATATAATGGAGTTCCTCACACATTTGACAAACCTATTTTCCAATCAATTGTTATGTTCTTTTCAATGTCATTATGTTTTTTCATTGAAAAGTTGATTGAATTATTTAAAAGAAGATCCAACAAAGAAGCTGCTTATACTCAATTAGAAGATGGAGAAAAAATACCTGAAAAACAAGCCTCTGTATTCCTTATTCTTATTCCAACAACCTTTGATTTGATTGCATCAACTCTTATGACATTTGGTTTAATTTATACCCCAGCTAGTGTATTCCAAATGCTTAGAGGTTCAATGATCATTTTTTCATCATTCCTTTCAAGAATTTTCATTGGAAAGAAAATACGATATGGACAATTGATTGGTATATTTATTAGTGTAATTGCTCTTGTGTTAGTTGGAGTATCTGCAATTCGTACACCATCAACTGGATTAAATGAAACAACTGGATTCCAAACAGCAATGGGTATTCTTATGATTTTAATTGCCCAATTTATCCAAGCTGGACAAATTGTTGCTGAAGAATTTTTCATGAAGAATTTAACTCTTCCACCATTAAAGATTGTTGCATTTGAAGGTATTTTTGGTCTTATAGAAACTGTTTTTATTGCTTGTCCATTTGGATATTTCGTACCAGGTAGTGATTACAGCACAATGCAACACAATTCATTTGAAAACACATACGATTCTTTTGTTTGTTTAATCCATAGTACACCAATTATTATTATTACTATTATCTTTGCTATTGCTGTTCTTGGACTTAATGCTTATGGTATGATGGTCACTAACGCTTTCAATGCTGTTAA